AATATTTGTTTCACATAAATAGCCCTAATATTACCAAACATTTCCCTGTTTTTATTTTGTTCTTCTTACATTATGTGAGCTTGGCCATGTAAGCAGTTTAAGTTTTTTCATTATTTAGTAAATATACACCTTGTACGATGTAAATTAAATTTCAATAGCACAGTAGACAGATATGTAATAAGAAGAAGCGGGAAATATACAACAAATGGTGTATAGGTCACGAAAATTCTCTAGTTTTGGTTCTGAGCATCTTTTTTGATTGATCCAGAAAAATAAAGGTCATGAGAATCTTCCAGAGTAGAATTGCAAACCAAATATTAATTGCAGTGCACATCTACACACACTCATACACATAGCCAGAACCCTTGTTCTTGTATAGCATGGCACTGAGAACAGTATTAGCCACAGCTGGAGAGAGAGAGAGAGAGAGAGAGAGAGAGAGAGAGAGAGATATGGACATTTATGTTCTGCCCATATTTGCTATGAGATATTTTTGTTTGCTGCTACTGCTGCTTCATAATCTATGTTTTGTTTTATTTTCAAAGTAAGAAAAATATAACTAGCTTTTAGTTTAGCTTTATGAAACAAGATCCTTCCTAAGATCTTATTTTGAAAAAACCTTGTGCCAAACTAAAAGAGAAAGGAGGAGATGTAAGTGCTTTATTCAAGGCCTCTAGTGCTCGGTGTCTATAAGTCTCCCCCTTGGCACCTGTTCAAGAGAGTAGTTCAGAAATGCTCTGAGGTTGGAAAAAAAGACATTTCTGGGGGCTGATTACTCAACCTGTTTGACAATTAACTTGCTAGAATTTGGTCTTAGAATGTCTCTTGTATATTGTGCACTCTCCAATCATTTTGTTGTTGTTGTTGTTAATTGCGAAGTCGTGTCCGACCCATCGTGACCCCATGGACAACGTTCCTCCAGGTCTTCCTGTCCTCTACCATCTTCTGGAGTCCATTTAAGTTCACACCTACTGTTTCAGTGACTCCATCCAGCCATCTCATTCTCTGTCGTCCCCTTCTTCTATTGCCCTCGATCTTTCCCAGCATTAGGCCCTTCTCCAGTGAGTCCTTCCTTCTCATTAGGTGGCCAAAGTATTTGAGTTTCATCTTCAGGATCTGGCCTTCTAAAGAGCAGTCGGGGTTAATCTCTTCTAGGACTGACCGGTTTGAACGCCTTGCAGTCCAAGGGACTCGCAGGAGTCTTCTCCAGCACCGTAGTTCAAAGGCCTCAATTCTTTTGCGCTCAGCCTTTCTTATGGTCCAACTTTCACAGCCGTACATTGCAACTGGGAAAACCATGGCCTGGACTATACAATCATTTTGTTAGGGATTTACAAAAACCTCATTCTTGTTAATAGATATTGGCATACAACCAAGCTGGTCAGCCTCCACCCAGTGATCTGGTAGAGCAACATCAAACCATCATTCAGAAGATCAACTGGCAAAAGTCCCAGCTACAGCATGGAAAAGCTGCAATCATGAAAGGTATTTTGATAGGAAGGCTCAGTTGTGAAATCTGTCTCTCTTCTGCACTGACCTTGGTACACCAATCAGCCTTAAGGCGGCATCCAAGTGATGGTTCCTGACCATGTTTGATCTTCATTCTACAGAATATCTGACTCGATTGGAGCAGTACCACCAGTGGTATACAGAGGCAGCCAGGCGCCTTGGAAATGACGGAAAACGGGTATGGGGTGATTTTGTAGCATGGTGGTGGGGCTAGGGAAGCAGACCCATTTTAAAGCCTCTGAGCTTGGTTTACAGTGGAGAACCACATTTAAAAGCACATGGAATCTGTGTTGATACTAGGGCAGTTTGAATACAGGCCTCAGCTAAAATGCTGTCTGCTCTACTGTTTGGCAGGAGGCAGCTAAGGATGCTCTTTACAAGCGCAATCTGGTGGAGAGGGAGGTGAGTAGTGCCTGATTGATTCTTCTTTTCCCTGCCCAGTTGGTCAGAACACATTGAGACAAGCTTGGAACCTTATGTCATGGGTTCCCCTTTAAGGGTCCCTTCTTTCTTTTGGGTGGGTACAAATGGTTTTCCTAAAGGATTTTAACTTGTACAATTTTATTGAATACTAGTATTTTAGAAAGTGTTCTACAAATCAGATGTTCTCCATTTTGGCAATCTTATGACGTGTGGACTTCAGCTCCCAGAATTCCCTAGCTAGCATGGCTGGCTGGGGAATTCTGGGAGCTGAAGTCTACATGTTTCTAAGTTGTCAAGATTGGGAAACCTTGCTACAGATGATAAGACCATTTCCCAGGTCCTCCTTAGTCAAAATGTTCTCCAGTTTGGGGTGCATGTTTTTCCTATAGCTGCAACTGGGTCAGGTTCTTTCTCCTGTCTCCATAGACAAAGACATGCTCATTGCTGGTGCTATTTTGTATTTTTTGAGGGAGGTTATTTAAACGATTGCCAGTTTCTACAGATATTTCTCAGGTGATTTCGTTATCAAACATTAGGCCGGTGGCTGCTAAGGAGACAGTCTTCACGGTGGTTCTTACAATCTCAGTGTATCTTCCCTGGATTTTTTATTTTTATGCCAGCTTTTGATCAGCCTTGGGAAAAATTGTATGTTAGTGGTCTTTGTTTTTTATATTTTTTTATCCTGCCTGTATTATTTTTATAAATAACTCAAGATGGCACAAACTTACCTCTTTCCACCTCCTATTTTCCCCACAACAACTCTGTGAGGTAGTTTGGGCTGAGAGAGAATGACTGGGTTACAGTCACCCCTTGCATGATGAGGCGGGACTAGAACTCACAGCCTTCTGGTTTCAAGCTAGTGCCTTAACCACTAGACCAGTGGTTCTCAACCTTTTTAATGCTGCGACCCCCAACCGGTCGTAAATCGAAGACTACTCAACCGGTCGTAAGTCGAGGACTACTTGACTGGTGCAGCACCGTTTGCAGAATGGGACTTTTGGCAGGCTCAGCAGGGCAGAGACAGCCTGGACAATTCCTATTGGCTTTTGAATGCCAATAGAATTAGACTCTATTCAAGAGAGTCTATTCTATTGGCTTTCCAAAGCCAATAGAATAAAAGGGAGGAGCACAGCTAAGGAAAAGGGGGGAAAAACGGCGGACTGCGTTGTTTGGCGACCCCCGTGAAATGGTCGTTCGACCCCAAATGGGGTCCCGACCCACAGGTTGAGAACCGCTGCACTAGACCAAACTGGTTCTTATGAATGCCATAGATGGATTACTTATACTTTTGTCTTTTCTTGGAAACATTGATGTACCTGCATGTTTTTGTCTTTCAGCTGCAAAAGTTTCGGAAATGAAGCTAAAGCATTTAAATTATCTATCCAAGCAACAATGCTTTCAAGCATGGTCTTTTCACTGTTACAGGGAAAGGGTAGTGGAAAGACAGAAATGCATAGGCTGTATGCTGATGGATCAATTGTGCCACAAGTTGGTTCTTGATTAATTGACTTTGCAGAAAACTCTATGTTTCATCATAAGTACATTATAACCCCAATGACCTGAAGAGAGACAATCCTTTTTACAGGTGCCTTATAGCTACGTCCACCACTCCTTCTTTTGCACTAAGCATTTTGCACATGCCACTTGAGTTGTTTTTTTTTTAAAACCCTTCTCAGTGGTCAAGGAGACTCTTGTGTGTGAAATCTTATATGCCCATGCCTGTGGGATTTGTTTTTAAATCTACCTTAGTAGCTGAGTTAGAAGTCCCATTCACCTGGTATGTTTTTTCCACTGACCAGGGTATTTAACCATTTTAGAGATAACAATTGCAGTGATGGAAAGATTCCAGAACATCCCAAATTAACTGAGTTAAATTAACATCCCAAATTAACTGAGTGGACTTAATTTGGAATTTGGCACTTTCAGTACGTTTAACAGTTATTCCAGGGATGTCCATATAGTCTGCATTCATTTCCTAGTTTCCCTTATAGCTACATCCACCACTCTGCTCTCTTTTGCACCAAGCACTTAGCACATTCTGTTTGAGCTTTGGTTTTCTGAACTTTATTGGTGCATACCAACAGCTGAATAATTCACTTTTGACTCAGCTAATCACTTTTCAGTGGTTTTCAGTGATCAAAGAGATCTAGTTCAGATTCCTCGTGTGCAGGCTTGCATGCCATTATATCTGCCTTGTATGCCAGTTGAAGGTCCTGCATATGTGGTATTCTTCTCTACTGAGAGCTAACTAGTCTGCTCCTTAAACAATCTGTAATGTGGAGACATATGTAGCCACAAGACTTATACTTTTTGACACTTTCTCGTTGTTTTTAACTTGTCTTGGAGGGACCAAGAGACGAAGCATCTATGAGACTGCTAAATTAGATGGTTCCTTTTTTTTTAAATGTATAGAGAGTAGCAGAGCAGTCTTTCTTCTAGGGAAGGAATAACTGTTCAGTTCTGGTGTACAAACAGCTTACGGAACTCATTCATGGTACTCTTATGCAGGTTAGATTCTCATAATATATGTAATTGTATTATTTCTGTTGAGTGGAAAATGGTATCTGATAACCCCTGCTTCCTGATACATTATAGAGAGAGACTGCGTCACTTAGCTCCTTTTTCCCTACACAAAGACAGGAGAGGCTACTGAAACCTGTTGGGCTGCTTTTTTTCTATAATCCATTTTGGCAGATGGAAATCTTTCCTAGTTCTTTTTTCTGTAAGATTGAGTATAAGAAATTAACTCAGGATTGTTGATGCTGCTCAGGATGAAATGAGGAAATGAACTGTAGGTTATATCCAGGTGGTCTTCCTTGCCTCTGCCTACATACCTTTTAAAATCTAATTTTAGTTTATTGTAAAGATAATAAAAGGAAAACAAATGTATTATATACATTTTCACAATCTCATTTTTATAAAAGTGCCTGTCTCTGAAATTATTGTTCAGCCAGAGTCTTTCAGAATTAATGTTAAAAGCAAAGGCTGCAAATCTGTTTTGGCTTTATTTTATGTATAGGATGACATAAATATATAATATTTTTAAGGGAGGAAGGGGAGAAACTGTGTTCAAAACAAAAACTCTTTAATGTACCAGTAATAAATTCTCCAAACCGCCTTTTAATCTGGATTCTGTTTAAGTGTCTACTCAACAGTAAAATGTCATTTTCATGGAATCTTCCATCTATTTTATAACTTTAATTTCTTTTTTTCCCAGCCATCTCTGAATAAAAACAGTTTAATCTGCTAAGCTAACACAAGTTTAGCTTATGAAGTCATTTGATATTAAAATAACTTGGTTTCTATGGCTTCATCCTTGACACAGGGATGATATCTTTGATCTCAAATACAAGCCTTATGACAAGGGTTCTCAACCTTGGCAACTTTAAGACTTGTGGTCTTCAACTCCCAGAATTCTTCAGCCAGCACTGGCTGAGGAATTCTGGGAGTTGAAGTCCACAAGTCTTAAAAGTTGCCAAGGTTGAGAACCCCTGCCTTATGACTTTAATCCTGTTATGATGGACCCTCAGTTGGAACATAGAATAATAGGGTTGGAAAGGACTTGGAGCTCTTCTGGTTCAACTTTCTGCTCACATAGGAAATCCTATACCATTCTGGACAAATGGCAGTCCAGTCTCTTCTTGAAAACCTCCAATGATGGAGCACCCATGACTTCTGGAGGCAAGTTCTCTCTAAAGGCAAGTTTTTTTTTAATGTTGCCTCAAGTCTATTCAGACAGTCATAAATGTGGGAGATCAAAATGCTGGTTAGTAATTCTGTGTGATGCTAGCTATCATTTCTGTCATCTCATTTACAAATGGGATTTGACACATGGGGAAGAAAACCTTGGCATTTGCAACTTTCTAGTTCATTGCAACAGCTGGGCTGTTAGATTGGAAATACATATGAGAAGTGATGCAGAAGAAGGAACTGTGGGGAAAATGCTCCACTGAATATTTTATGTCCTAGCCAATATTGCAAGTAAGTGCAGGAGGATGCACTAACTTCTTCTGGGTATGACTGTCACTGTAGTTCCAGGAAAGCTTAGCCAAGCCAAATGTAGATCCATTGGCAATCAGCATTCCAGTTTTGCTCCGAAGAAAAGCAGTTCGCTTGCACTGGCTTTGTTGTATTTGGCTGACAGAAACTGGGAGAATAAACACTGTACAACAAAACCCCCTCCAGATGTTAGCAGGTTGGTTAGATTCATCAAAAGACCTAAAGAAGTAGAGTAGTGCAGAGAATTCCAGATGGTAATCTGCAGAAGAAAGAGATACAATCAGCTGGACTTGATGTCCAGAAAGTTTGGCTGTATTTATACTTGTAATATGGGATCTTCTGCACGTGCAGAAGCAGCACTGACAGCAATACTACACAATTAGGTTGAACTGCATTGTTAATTGGGAAAAGGCTAGGGTGAGAAGGGAAAACTCAAGGCGATAAAAATTGCCAATCAAACCTTCTTGGATAATGAGATCTTCATCCAAGGACCAATCCAAGCGGGATTATCTACCCCATTTATATAGAATCTGGTATCATTTTAGTGCTGGGTGAAAACATTAAAAAATTCACTGCAGCTTCTCTGGATGTCCAGTTTGCTGCACTGTGTAAATGTTTATAAAACACTGGATTTACACATACACAGTTTTTGGGAAACTGTATTAAAAAGCAATGTACAAATGATTAAGTCAACCACCCATCATCTATTTGCAATTAGGTTGTATCAAATTGCAGGTGGCATTTACATCATACTATTCCTACATGAAAGCCAGCTTGGTATAATCTAGAAACCAGGAGGCCCTGAGTTCTAGTTCACCTTAAGCACAAAACTAACTGGGTTACCTAGGAAGGCGGCAATGGCAAACACTTTCGAAATCTTGTCAAGAAAACAGCAGGGATTTGTCCAGGCAATCAACTGGGATTCAACACTGACTTGAAGGCACTCTTCCCCCTGTCATTTTTTATATATATATAGGTAGTCCTTAACTTATGACCGTAAGTTGTCATTAATTTATGACCTTGTTTGCAGCTATCATTAGCAAATGCCAGGATCATTAAGCAAATGTGGCAGTCATTAAATAAAATCATTTTATCCAATGGGCTTTATGTGTGTACTTTCCAGTGCTTTACTGTCAAAACCAGCAAGAATTGTAGTGCTATAAATACAAGCCAGCTGCCAAGCATCCCAAATGCAATCATGTCATCAGGAGGAGGTACAATTGTCAGAACTCTGGAAGCAAACCGTAAGTAAGTTTTTGTGAGTCCCTCATAACTTTGCAGGGTCACTAAGTGGCTAGTTGTTAAGGAAGGATTGCCTGTACACATTTCCTTTAAGGCAACTACCATAGTAGGGAACAGCACCAATTTTACTTGTACTTGCTGAGCGATGAAAATGAAAGCTACTTTGTATGTTCACATGAATCTCACTCAACTTTGTAGTCCAACTTTCAAGCATACATTCATTGCCTCACAGATGATTTTCTATACTTTTCCCCCCCTGCCAACTCTTGCATTATTCAGCTCTTCTACACCTGAAAATGTATAAGGAATCTGTTATCAGTGAATATATTTTATTAATGTTTTTATATAATTAAATCACTTATCAGAAATTTCTGATTCTGCTAGAGCTGAACAATATATAGGGTGAATGTAAACTTATAAGTTAGGTTCACGGAAAGCTCTAAATCTAACCTCTTCCAGGCTTCCTTCCTAGGTGCCCATCTGAGTCTGGGCCTGGTGTCCAGCTTGCAGGAGAGAGGTGCTGATAGGCTCTGGGTTGCCTGCCAGGTCTACTACTTCTAAGAATTTCAGGTCTGCAAATGCCTCTTCCGACACATTGGCTGCCAATAATCGATTGGATCTACAAAACAAGGAGGGCAGAGTAATGTCACAAGAACTGGAGCCTGTCCTTTTTGGTTCTTCAAAGATTTTTGGAATTTCCTTTCCAAAGGAGGCTATTTACATTTAAAATACAGACCATTTGTTTTAAAGATGAAGAGCAACACATATTTACAAACCTAAACTCACAATTCCATAATTTATGAGCTGTAAGCATATAATGTTCAGACTACAGTAGTTTTAGGTATTCATTCTTCTATAAAAGGCAGTTAGTTGATCTTTCGTTTACCTGAGAGAGATGACCCGTATGTTGGGTGTTGTCAGGAAAGTCTCAGCCATAATGAGAATAATTCGGTTGTGTTGCAAGTATAGATATTCCAGTGATTCTGGAAGGTCTGGTGGAACGTATGACAACTCATTAAAACTCAGATCCAGGAGCTGAAAAAGAAAAACCCACTAAATATTGGGTTTGGGTGTCATTTACTATGGCAATAATTGAAGATAAGCTATCCTCCATAAAACTAGCTAATCTGTAATTTCTGCAAACTTTCATAATGCAGTTTGTAAAGCAGCTTTTCCTTTCATCTGTCCTGAACCCATAATAATGCAAATTTACTAGATGACAGGAAGTTACTTATTTGCAAATTCAAATTTAATTTTGCATGTAGGTATCTACATTTGTTTCAACTTGATTTTGGATGTCAATTCTTAATATGCTTTACTTACACACAGGAGTTTATTCTGAAAAGCTCTACCATACTGCCGTCCTAAAATGACATTTTTTAGCCACAAGAATATATGTTGCGCAGTCAACCTCCCTCCCTGTTCCTTCTTGCCTCACCTTGAGCCCATGCAGCTCATGCCAAGTGCCTGGAGAAATACTGCTGATCTTCAGCCGGTTGTGTGCCAGGTGCAGCTCTTTAAGCATGGTGAGGTTAACTAACCGTTCTGGAGAAAGAGCATTGAGCTGGTTCTTCTGAAGGTTGAGGACTTGAAGACTGTTGGGCAGCCCAGCCGGGAGCAGCGTGAGTCTATTGCCAGAGATGTCCAGAGTTTCTAGGAGCCTAAGCTTACGGAAGGCCAGGCGATGGATGTGGGCACTATAAAGCCGGTTGTAACTGAGATTGAGCTCAGTTAAAGCATACGTGGCCGCAAAGTCATTCAAACCAATGCGTGCAATCTGGTTGTGCAGTAGCATCAAGGATCGGACACGCCGCGGAAGTCCAGGTGGGATTCCATCTAGCTGATTATTGTACAAATGGAGTGTATGCAGGGAGCGCAGGTGGGCAAAGGCCTCTGGGTGCATCCCTGAAGCTGTCAAAGCATTGCTTTGCAATAGAAGATACTGCAGGCCTCGCACACGGCTAAGACGCTCAGGCGGTAGTCCTTTCAAGTGGTTTCGGCCCAAATGTAGTATTACTATGTTGGCAGGAAGACCAGCAGGCACCTCTGTCAAGTTGTTGTTGGAAAGATCCAGATATTCGAGTCTCTTCAGCTTGCTATAGAGATATAGGATGCCTGATAAAAAGCCTAGAAAGTCTTCCAATGGCCCCTACTGCAGCAAGTTGTCTACTCAACATCCAGAAGCCCTGATTTCAAATTATAGTGCTCTTTGCCACAGCCAATTTCACTTTTTACCATTCTTACCTGAAGGTGGAATGGGCCAGGCCTTCACTGGATAGATTATTGTTCTGCAGGTAAAGCTCCCGGAGGTGCCCCTGGCTGTTCAAGGCCCCTTTAGGGATACGAGAAATGTGATTATTCTGCAAAAGGAAGCCTTGTGGTCAAGGAAATGCCCCACTCTCATTCCCCCAACAATCTAGAATGGGGCTATAGATGAGAATGGCCCAAAAGCTCTCATGGTATTGTTCTCATGCAGAAGCAGAATAAATAGGAAATGAACATCCATAGCTGGATTGTGGTAACTAATCACAAATCTGGCATTTTCCTCAGAATCTCCTTGGCTTTTCAGGCAGTTTATATTAGAGAAATCAATTTTAACCTATTTCCAGGACTGATTCCGGCTGCACAGAGCCCATATTCTTGAATATATTGGTTCATAATTTAAACTTAGAGAACATGGAAGAATGCACCTGTTTTTCATGCCCATTTTCCTATGATCAAGTAATACAGTTTATCTAGTATAGGTAGAAAGAGTACAGGTAGTCTTCGATTTACAACCACAATTGAGCCCCAAATTTCTATTGCTAAGTGAGACATTTGTTAAGTGAATTTTGCCCCATTTTATGACTTTTTGCCTCATTTGTTAAGTGAATCACTGAAGTTGTTAAGTTGGCTTCCCCATTGACTTTGCTTGTCAGAAGGTTGCAAAAGGTGATCACGTGATCCCGGGACCTGCAACCGTCATAAGTATGAGTCAGTTGCCAAGCATCTGAATTTTGATCATGTAATCATGTGGGGATGCCGCAATGATCATAAGTGTGAAAAATGGTATTCTGAAGTGATAACATTTCAAGAGCAGTTTCCATGATTCTGTAGGTTTCATACATTAGCCCATAACAGTGTTTCCTAAAAAGAATTAGCTCTGATTGTCAGTTAACATTTATATTTAACACAGGAGACAAGATCTGACAAGGAATTTGCAATATACAAAAGATTGTGATCATATGTGTTATGCCACTTTCGGGCACTTTCCAACCCGTTCCAGGTGCTCCACTTTGGAGAATGGGCTGGGCTTGTAGAATTGAGAAACAATTGAAAAACTGGGTTTAACACAACAGATTGCATCCTTTCTGCTAATGGCACTCTCTCTTACAGTTTCCAGTTCATATTGTTCCAGCCAACCTTTTTTTTCCTACCCTGACAGGATAGGAGATAGCTACAGACCTGCAAATGGAGGCGAACAACACCACAGGGCAAATTTTGGGGCACATAGGTGAGCCGATTGTTGGAAAGGATCAGGGTACTGACAGCATCCGAGCCATTGAAAGCATCAAAGGACAGACCAGTGTTGTTCAAGTAATTGTTGTGCAGATAAACAGACCTGAATGGAGAAAAAAAATGCAAAGAGCACATTAAAATTGGCCTAGACCAGTGATGGCGAAACTTTTAGAGACCGAATGCCCAAAACCCACCTCGCCCCGCCCCGTCCCCGCATCTCCTGCCTGCAGGGCCACCCACCACCTCTACGGCCTGCCACAACAGATCGCCATGGCGGCCCAACAGCATCATGGCAGCCACGCCCTCTGTCTGTGCCCCGCAGCATCAGCTGTACGCAATGGGGCACGAGGATGGAGTCTTGTGCCCGCTGTCCGGCTGCCATGTCCTTGGCTGCACTGCTCTGCACAGGCCGCGCTCGGGGCAACTCTCCTTCAGGGGGGCTGCTGGTGAGGAGGGGGCCATGGGGGGTGGCAGAGTTGGGATGATGGTGTGCATGCCCACGGGGAGGGCTCTGAGTGCCGCCTCTGGCACCCGTGCCATAGGTTCGCCACCACTGGCCTAGACCAATATCAGAGTCCTAGAGATATGTTGGCACTAAAATATCTTGATGGGATAAAAATAAAAGATAGGACTTGTAGGGCATATTCTCCTCCTCTGAATACAGGTAGTTCTCAACTTACAACAGTTCGTTTAATGATTGTTCAAAGTTAAAACGGCACTGAAAAAGTGACTTATGACCACTTTTCACATGACTGTTGCAGCATCCCCATGGCCATGTGATCAAAATTCAGATGCAACTGACTCATATTTATGACGGTTGCAGTATCCTGGGTCATGGGATCGCCTTTTGTGACCTTCTGACAAGCAAAGTCAATGAGGAAGCCAGATTCACTTAACAACACGTTACTAACTTAACAAGGGCAGTGATTCACTTAACAAATGCAGCAAGAAAGATTGTAAAATGGGGCAAAATTCACTTAACAAATGTCTCACTTAGCAACAGAAATTTTGGGCTCAATTGTGGTTATAAGTCGAGGACTACCTTTATTCCACTTTCCCAACAAGCAATAATGGCCAGTGAAGAGCCCAGGGACTACATACAACCCTTACCCTATTTGTCCTTTTCTCTGCCATGCCTACAGGGCTTCTCTGTGTGCCTCTCTCTGATGAAGAATTTCAGGCTTCCCTGCTTAGTAATTCAGGTCAGGCCTTTTGCTGCTATCTGAACAGAGGCTGTGATTTCCATTGGCATTATTCCCCCCACCCCCACCCCATGCCCCAGGGTGCCACTCTTGTTATGTAGTTTTACAGGGAGTTGGCCAGCACCTTGTAGTGCTGGCTTTACTTTTAACAAAATGTGGGGATTTTTTTTCTTAGCTTTACCTGAGACCAGGCTTATGCCCAAAGGTGAGTGGAAAGACCCAGGTCAGGTGGTTGGCAGCAAGGTCCACAATGCGTAGTGTGTGAGGTAGGTACTGTGGTGCCACAGATAGCTGGAAAAGAAATGTGGAGATAGGTACTCATTTTATGCATACAGTTGGAACACGGAAAATGGGAAACATGAACCAGGAAAAATCCAAAATGGTCAAAATAGAAATAAGGCACACTAAAATGAATGCTTAATAATATGAACTTAGATGGATTGAGATCATGGAAGCATGATTTAGGACATGAAAGCATATGAAAGAATCAAGTAGCCACAATATTCAAAAAGGACTTAAGTATACATAACAATGCAGAAACTAAGTTAAATGTGGTTTAATGAAGAGAATGCTTTATCACTAACTCCTGCTTCAAGCAACATAAATGCAACAACAACACCAACCATATGGAGAAATGGAGAAATATAATCCAGCCTAGGTTCAGGTTGTGCCTGAGTAATAAACTATTGGTGTTAATATATGGGTTAGACTTTGAACATTAATTCCCTAGATATACCAAATTTTAACTGATGGACAAATTAAGTGAAAGAGACTCTAAAGTGCTAAGAGAGATCACTGAGTAAGCGAACGGTGGAAATTAACAGGTGTCTGTCAAGGCAGTTAAAGGAAGATTCACTAACAAATTTTCATTTAAATCAAAAGTCAAGTACTCAAGTAAAATAGGATTCTAAAAACAGAAAATGAAATAAAAACATTTTTACTGGTAATACTCTAAGAAGAAGAAAAATGAAACTGAACAGTATGCAACTGATTTGCAGTGTTTGCCGCAGGTCTTCTTGTCTAGAAATAACTGGAGATTAATTTGCAGCACAGTGGAAGCAACCTTAGTATGAAAATAAAGAGAGAAGAAAGGGCAGAAGACAATAGTATCAATCAGAAGGAAAAGGATTAGATGTCTAGAAATCTAATTATTGGAGCTTTTGAAGATAAAACAGGTTCTGAATAAACTTTTCCTTCAAATGATGGAGAAAGCACTAGTTGTTCTTGACTTGCTGTTAACCAATAGGTAAGGCTCAAGTAAGAAAAAAAAAAGAGAAATTTAAACTGAGCATACTCAAATACATATCTTGGACTTCAAAAAAGCAAATGTTAATAAACTCAAAACAAATATAAGCTGGAGAAACTACTTAAGAATGGTAGGAGTTCCTAAAGAAGGAAGAATCACTTATTTTGTGAGATGGGTGGCTACATCAATTGAATAAATACCAAAAGCACAAGTGCAAATAATTCCAATAATGTGGAAAACTAGTTAGTCTTCAAAAAAGAGAGAAAAACACCAGATAGCTAATACTTACAGTAAGAAGGATAATGGAGAAAGCAAAAGAATATAAGAGCAAGATTTGCCTTTTTTTAATTGATGACAAGCCTTTGATTATATATCATAAACATGAAATATATTAAAGATGCCAAAACATCTAATTACTTTTTTGAGAAACCTTTACAATGAATAAGCTCTTATTGTACTTTAAGAATGCTGAATTCTATTTAGCTTCCTTCGGTTTGTATTTTTATTCTATTTTTTATAAAGAGCTTTTAGGGTGTTACCACTGTTCTACTGTATATCTTCTTGTATACTGGCTGTAAATAAAATAACGAAGAATTATTGCAGGAAATGAATTCAATCATGAGGTTACCCTCAGTGGTGTTAGATGGGAAGTACAGTAGGATTCCATGCAAGCCTATTCTTACCAAATCTTAACAAAAATGAGAGTGAAGCTACTTTTCTACTCACAATTCAGAACCCTATTATTCCTTAATAGAGTTGCTGAGTTTCTATTTGCCAGAGTTTCTGCAAGAAGGCATTAAAAGTCCTAATCTTGGACTGATAACATCATGATTTATGTTTTTGTTTTTATTTTCTTTATTCCTAAATTATCATTCATGCAGTTTTAGTGCATTTCATTGAAATCTCATTTTTTGGTTTTCAGATCCTAATTTTCTAGGTTTTATATTAATTTTCCACTGTCTTTGTTGTATTTGGTTATTGCTTCTGAATTTGGATAGGGCTTTTTTAATTTTATTTTATCCTTGGATTTGAGAGGTAAAGCTAATATTCTACTATAGAGCATGCCAAAGCATTTATGGGATAGTTAACCTGGCTGTAATCCCTTGCTTGGGATATGAGTTTGGAGAGAAGACTATTATTGAAGGGCTAGGAAAAAAGATTGAGCAAATAGTCTGAAAATTAAAGATAATTTGATGCGATCTTCTACAACAGGGATATCAAACTGCCGGCCCATGGGCCAGATGCGTCATGGCAAAACCGCGCCCATCCCATTGCTGGCAATGGGAAAAAAGTCACAATACGTTGCGACATGTCAGATGACATTGCGAGTTTGACACCCCTGTTCTACAAGAGTATTTTTTCTGAATTGATTCAGCAATTTGAAAATCTAAATAAATCTAAAAAATCCAATTCAAATTTAGAAATCTAAATAGGAAGGAAGGTGTTCCATTTTAGCATAAATCATGTCTATTCTTAATTTTGTTTTGTTTTGTTTTTTTGATCAGCCAAGGAAGTTATATATTTCTGAAAGAGAAAAAAAACTTGGATCAAGACTGATGCCTGGTGGCTATATAGAGATAACGATAGCAATAATATGGAAGTGGATTGCCACTAACTTCATCTAGGTTTTTTTTTTCTCAATCTAGCCTACAAGCCTGGTATCCCTTGGTGGTCTCCGATCCTAGTACTAACCAAGTCAAACCCTGCTTATTTTTCTAAACCAGCCAGATTAGGCCAGGTGAGGTAAAGTAATGGTCATAGATGGTGATCATGGTCCAGTGGTCCAGCGGTCTACCCTGAGTTCTTTGGAGGAAAAGTGGGCAAAAAATATAATAAAAATATATCATAAATGATTCCTTCTTTTAAACAATCCTAGTTCTTATACATTAACCATTTGATTTTTATATAGAAATCTCAGAGCCTAATTTTTTCATCTTGTGGTTCCTTAATTTAGCATTTCCTATCTTCTTTGCTGATGGTTGTGTTTTTCTTTGTTTGTGCAAGTAAAAACCCACATCACTACATTGTATGCCTTATTAATCTAAACATGCTCACCTTGTTATTGGCCAGATAGATGTACTGAAGTGACTGCAGTGGCTCAAAGGCTTCATCCGGAAGACCTATAAAATGGCACAGACTAGAATAAGATCTATATTTGGGATCCTGCCTAAGTTGCTGTGTCAGTTAGATTTCTTACCCCATGCAAGACCTCCCAGTATCCACTCATCTACTTGGTATTCATCTCTCGCTACCCACTCATACCATGCTCAAAAAGTAAAAAAGACTGGTTTGCAGTCTCCTGCTGATTCAGTCAGCTTTGACTGGGACTAGCTGCTATTTATCAGTCCTTCCACACAGAGCACCCCCCCCCCACACACACACACTCCTGCAAAATATATTTGAGTTCTATCTTGCCTTTTATATAAGCTAAAGCAGCATATTGTATGTAGCATTCCCTCCTGTTTTTTCCCTTAACCACCCTGTAAGATGAGGTTAGACTGAGAGGGAGTGACTGGCCCACAGTCACCCAATGAACTTCCGTGGTTGAGGGTAGACTGGCCTTATTCTAATCAGTTCATCGTTTTAACCCTCTGTTCAATAGAAGAAAAGGAAGCTATACTTTACATTTGAAAGAGCTCTTCCACCCACCAAGCCATCTACACTTAAAGAGAATTTAAGATTAAAGGATTAACTACTGTTTGTGTACATTAAACGGACGGACCTCCTGAAACACCTGGGAATACCAGGGCATACTTGCTTACCATCAGAGGTGACCAGATTGTCATGGAGATTGAGGGTTCGTAGGTTGATCAGACGGGATAATTCATGGTAGGGTAGCTCTTGCAATTGGTTATTCTACAGAATGAAGATCAGCACTGTATAACAAGGGTAGCAAGGCATCCATACCACCAGGGTGTTTCCTTTCTCTGAACACCTGAGAAACACCTGAGTTTTCTGATAACTATTTATTTTACCCCACAGAGCAAAGCTCATTGTCTGCCCCAATATGTATCAAGGTAACATCACCTGCAATGAAAGATGCTGGATGTCTGTAGAGATATTGCTGGGGAAAATGTGCAAGTCAAGGCCACCACAATCCACTGTCTCCTCTGTTGGGCAGGTGCACTGAGCTGGACAACCAGACACATTCTGGGCAGGATCCCCACGGGGCTGGGATGTTGACAGTGACAGGTCGTCATCTTCATCCTCCTCCTCCTCATAGTTTTTCAGCAGAAAGCTATAAGGTATACTTGCCAGGAGTAGTAACAGATGACCACTGCACAGCTGCTGGGGCAGAAGAGGGGGCTAATCAATGGTGCTCTGTATAATATTATAACATGCTTTTCTTTCAATGCTTCTCCTGTCTGAGTAGGCCAGGAAACACCCCTCCCCTCTCTCCTCCCAAATCTGTCCCTTTGGGAATGTAGACAGAGGTCCTACATAGTACTGAATGCCTTACTAATTGAAATTGGGTTTTTGTTTCTCCCACGGGATATTAAGTAAATGATTTTTTTTAAATAGAGGCTGACAAAAATATCACATGCAGGATAGGAAAAACAGAGGCTTGCACTAAATGTTTGGGTAAAGTTCATGCACACATGGAACAGTATCAAAAGTGTTGGGAATGAGCTTATGCAAGATTTTCATTAACGTGGCATGGAAAAAGGCCTTATTGACTAATTATTGGGGAAGGGGGAGCAAAATCCCACACAAGAGACCTTACAAGGATGAATGTCAAGCAAACATTAAAGGCCAAGTGCAACAGAGAAATCATCTAGACTAGAGTATTACATTTGTAAATGTGTAAATGAGAGAGAGAGGGAGAGAGAAGAAAGTATGTTGATGTTCCAGCGGCTTCAATGACAGGTGCCACAATGCAGTGGACAAATATTGGGGGGGGGACTGTATAATCTTGTTGAAAGCAAGAACCAATCAACATTACTCACTTAGACACTGCTTTCCTGAGCAAAAGTAATCCAAGATAGCATTTTTGGTCCTAGCTCCTAAGTGTCTGCTTTCTGTTTCTTTTGGGGGGGGGGGGAGAGGAGGAATTCTTCCACTGCCTTTTAACATCCTTATGACAGTTTCAATTTTCATAGGCAGAGTTTCTTCCATAGGGTGTTATAGAAATAGAATTAAATAAATTATAAATATACAAAAGAAAATGTTCCAAATAGCTGTAGAATTTCTGCCTGATATACAGCAGCTGTTCGATAATAAGAAGAACTGCAAAGAATTTTCATACTAGTCAGAGAGATTCCCTGTTTTCTTGCTACATTAACAAATCGCACCTAAACGCTTGACACTCCTTAATTCGAAACAATCTATTTCCCGATGTAACAATTTCGAATATCGATTCCCACTTTATCAGTCGGCATGGGTGATAGAAAACGGGAAATCCTTTACAGTACTTTAAACTTCGAACAAAAATTATTATAAAATGTAACCCATACAATTTAAAAGAGCCTAATCGCACTTCTGAGCTGTCACGCAAGGGAGGTAACACATCTGAATTAAGGATCCTAATTAACCGCATCTCCGCCCTCCCATTCAAGCACCTGTGACCTGTCTGCCGACCTCCTTCCTCCTCCTCCTCCTCCTCCTCCTCCAGTTCAGATCCAGACGGGTGCAGCGGAGCGCACACCGCGCAGGCCCCCGCTACGGCTCCGGTCATTGCGGTCCAAAGCCCGCTCCGCCCCTGCAGGCGTCTCTGTCGTGCAGCTGCCGGGCGCCTGGCTCCCGGGCACCACGCGGTAAGAAACCTCCCGGGCCACGTTCACGCTTGCTCACCATCGCCCTGTTTGGCCGGAGCCGTCTCTCCTCCGAAGGATGCCACGGATCCCCAATGGGATCTAGACCTGCGCAGGGCGGTACCTCTTCCCCCACCCCGGGCCCTGCGCGATCTCCTTCCTTCTCTTTCCGAAGCCAAGTCGTTTTGCCCACAGGCGGCTTACTGAGGAATCCCGAGAGCGCAGGAAAGAAACCCGCCTCCCTTTTCTTCCCCTAAGGCGCCTACGACCGACGGACCGACGGACCTGCTCCCGCCGTGCAGCTGCCACTTCTGCGGGCGACGGGGAGGGTGAGGGAGAAGAATGCTGTGTTTCTTTCTCTTTGTTTTTCATCCGATCAAAGTCAAGAAGGAGGGGCTGTTATTGCATAACTTTCACTTAGCCAAAGGAGGCTGGGGGACTGCCAGCCAGCCGCAACTCTTCGGGAACCGATCAGCTGCGATTCGCCTGCTGCGCGCCTCGTCTGTTTTTTCTGGTACGGTGGAAAGTTTCTGCTAGGGCCACAAAACCCCCAAGGCATCTCTTTTAACTCTTCCTCTGATAAGTGTGCAGAATGCAGTACACCTTCGTTTTCTCTCTACCATATTTCCCGTGTCAGACCTTGCAGCTTCCTCAAACCAGTAGCAGAAAAAGTTTGTTCTGATCTGAAGTACCATAATGTATCATAATGAATATTCGATTCCTCTTGAGTCCATCCCACCCCATGCTGTCGAAAAAAGAAAGCCTTGCTGAGTTGTCACTCTACAAACTGCCAAAAGGCAGGAAAGCAAGGTAGATTATTTTGTTTTGGGTGAATGGCTTGCCCTCACCTTCCAAGGTATTTTCTGACTTGCTAGTCTAGCCTGTTGTTATTCAGTTGCTCAATCACTTCAAGATCTTATCCTTTGTCTCCCAACCAATGAATAACCACACCCAACCCTGCCTAGTTCCCAATCTCAGACCAGGTCAGCCAGATTACCTGTTAGGACCTGAAAGTCGGAGTTTCAATAGTCATAACTTCTACTGTAAAAATGCTAAGATCAATATCGTAATGAAATTAATAACAGATAAGATGGCAGTTATATTAACATTGCATGCATTTTTGTACTGCTTCTGCTTCCAGAAGCACTTAAAAGTCCTCTGTGGAAGCGCTCCTAAGACCCGACAGCATGAATGTTATCACTCACCCAGATGGCACCAATGTCTGTTTATTTAGCTCTGGAAGAGAAACCACAGAACCCCTACCACTTCTGCCTTGAGACAATAGCTAAAACTGAATTTAATCACAAAATGTCCAATTCTGCTCTCTCCTCTCCAAATGTACACACTTAGGAATACTATAGATCAAACACATGGCACCTTGGTTATATATTTAAGAGCATGCATATCAATAGGGGGAAAAGGATCATCTTCATTGTCCTGAACATAACCCATTCCTTTATGAAATTGTAAGACATTTGGGTATCATTCCAATCTATGAAGTTAAGTCTTCTGAGGCTGGAAACAGACATCTACTATCTTGCCAATTACCTTTTCCTCTCTGAAGCCTAAAATATTATTAGTAATGCCATGCCATAGGGAATCAAATGGTAACCTTCCATTAAACCTTCCATTAACCAAGTTATTGAATAAATGACATTGTCTGGATTCAGACAACTAAACCATTCATATGGTTTGTAATTTAGCAGATTCTATGAACCTAAGCATAGTCATAGATCCAAACTCTGAATCAGAGCCAGATGCCAATGCCTTTCTGAATTTACTCTGGCAATGCTAGTATAGGATCTAATCAATAATGTCACTAAGAATCGAACAGCTGTTATTGGTGGGGGTGGATACTGACTAAATGTTTTGGAATATAGCCTCCACTAAAAGATAACAGGATTGGATTTAGTTACTACTAAAATGGAGAAACCATATTCACAACTCAACTGTAAACTCATACTGGAAAAAAATTATGAAGCTACTGAGGAAATATGTTCCCAAATAAGAGAGAGAACTGCAGAAATAATAAACAGAAATTCTACTGTGAACTTACAAACTGACCTTCAGACTCTATTTGATCATTCTACAGACCAAAAAGCAATAGAAGAGGAATTAATTTACAAACAACCTATGGAGACTTTGGATGATCAAAAAATGATTGTAACTAAACTATCTACAATTGCAAAACTAACAGAAATGGACTTGAAATTACAACCGTTGGAGAATTATGACAACTTTGATAATCAACTACTAATTATAAAATTGGACACGATCGAGTGTTTTATCCAGCAGACAGGAGCCAGGCGTCAAAAACAGAGGATGGGAGGTCTTTTACTGACCCAAATGACATTACAAATAATGGGAGATCTATTTGCTGAAATAGAGGCTTTGTTATTGAAACCTGCTTGGCATAAAAAGAAAGCCAGAATAAGACTAAAAAGAGAAATTTAAAATTATATGTAATGGATTAAAAAGGTTTTGAGAAATATGGATTGATTTAAGGACTAAGTTTTAGAGTTGAAAATTTGTGATTATTAGAATATATATGTTAAACAGAGTAAGAATGTATTTTTTGGAATAATATGTATATTTGTATGAAAATTATTTTGTAATGGAATGAGAATAAGAATATGAAAGAGGTTTTTAGAAATTCGGATTGCTTTAACAACTAATTGAGTGTGTTAAGTTAGTAAGATGATGTTTTGTGTAATAATAGGTATGTTCTTTTTTTTAGACATGATAATTATTTGAATGAGATTTAAATGCTATCTGAAGAAATAAGAGAGATTTGTGATAAAATCAATGATTTATGAGATTATGAATTAGAATATATCTGGATTAGTATTTTAGAAGGGATACCCGAAGTGATAATATATTTATCTAAGATTAAATTGGACTATGGTAACTGTAAATTAATAAAGTTCAAAACAGGATTAGGATTTATAGATATGTAATGTAGAAATGGATTATGCTAAATAGGTTATATTATTTGAGGGAAATAGAGAGGGAACATTTAATGTATTTACTTGAGCTATTACATGATTTTGTTTTTGGATGATTGATCACCTAACCACCACGGTGTGTCTTGAGCATTCTGTTGTAAAAGTTTAAAAACCAATAAAATTTGTTATAAAAAAAAATGTCACCAAGAAGATCAGGCATGTACACTTGCTCATCTTCCGATGTCATACAGGTAGTCCTCATTTTATGACTACAATTGTTGTTAAGGAGACAGTTGTTAAGTAAGTTTTGTCCCATTTTACAATTTTTCTTGCCACAGCTGTTAAGTGAATCACTGTAGCTGTTAAGTTAGGAACATGGTTGTTGTGTGAATTTGGCTTCCCAAATTTGCTTGTCAGGAGGTGGAAAGGTGATCTTATGATTCTGGGACACTGGATCATAAATATGAACCAATTGCCAAGCATCCAAATTTTGATCACATGACCAGGGGGATGCTGCAACAGTCGTGTGAAAAATGGGCATAAGTCACTATTTTCAATGCCGTTGTAATTTCAAATGATGACTAAATGAATGGTTGTAAGTCAAGGACTACCTATATGCTGACTCTGTAAATCGCTTAGAGAGAGCTATAAAGCCCGGTGAAGTGGTATATAAGTCTAAGTGCTGTTGCTATTTATTTCTTTGTGTATTTGATTTCCTGTGCCACACAATTATCCTGTAAGTTTTATGTCAGATACTAATTTAATACCAGTACTGGCAATATGCAAAATCAGTACTTTAATATTTCAAGACAGTTTGCAACTGACCTCAAGGTGACTAGACTCAAGTAAGACATCAAGGGCATATTTCCACATCAAAGAAGGGAGTACAAAATTAACATGTTCAGCTCTTATCTGTAATTTGAGCAAAGACAAAGGATTCTTTTTTTTAACCATCCAGTACAACAGTTTATTTTATACCCAGTGATAACTTTTTACTTTTGGTGACAGCATATACTTATAAATTAGCGGCATAGCCCTGGGACTCTGCATGGGTCCACAACATGCCAACATCTTCATAGCTGACCTAGAAAAACATTTCAACAGTGAGGACAATTAACCAGTGGAACAGCTTGCCCTCAGAAATCGTGGGCGCTCCATCACTGGAGGTTTTTAAGAAAAGATTGGACAGTCACTTGTCTGAAATGGTATATAGGATCTCTTGCTCGAGCAGGGGGCTGGACTAGAAGATCTCCAAGGTCCCTTCCAGCTTCTATTCTATTCTATTCTATTCTATTCTATTCTATTCTATTCTATTCTATTCTATTCACCTTTCTGATTAAATTTTCATAATTTGGACCCACAGAAAACACTTTCCATTGAATTTCATCAAGATCTCAACCTTAACTTCAATGAATCTATAGAACAGGTCTTGATGTTACAGTAAAACTACACAATGGACATATAAACAGCATATTATACAGAAAACCTATAGAAATGCTATCAGGCTTCTTCTAATCTTTGGCTATCATATATTAACATGGTTTTCCTCTTGTAAGAGAAAGACAATCTGGTACAGTGGTTAAGGGTGCAGTCTGGAAACAGCGAAACTGTGAGTTCTAGCCCTGCCTTAAGCACAAAACCAGCTGGGTGATCTTGGGCCAGTCATTCTCTCTCAGCCCCAAGAAGCAGGCAATGGCAAACCACTTCTGAAATCTTCCCAAGAAAACTACATGAAATTGTCCAAGAATCAACACTGACTTGAAGGCACCCCTTTCTTGCAATGCTTCAAGAGATAATTCTCATTTTTAAAATTTCATTTCCTTTTTATTTCAATATCTGCAACAGATACATCTTCCTAAGTAATGTTTAATGTAGGCGCAACTATCTCAAGATAACATTAACTACATCTGATGAATACAATATAAAACTTTATGCCACAATAAATACATTAATCAATAAAAGACAAAAATATTCCTAATGTATATTCTATGACATTAAGAGACCAGTAACTAAAAACAGGATGTTGAGTAGACATTTCTCTTTCTTTCTCTCAAAACACTAGAGTGCACAATCACTCAGCAAAATTGATGGGTGGTTGATTCAAGACAGACAAAACAAACTCCTTTTTTTACACAATGTACAATTAACAGTGTTTGAATTGCTCCCTTAAAATGTGGTAACAGCCACAAGCTATTTAAAATAGAACTACACATGTTTGTGGACTAAAAGTCAATACTAGCTATGGTTGCTTAAAAGGAATGTCCATATTTAGAGGAAGCCTACCACCAAATACTGGCTATTGGGGAATAAGCAGGAGTGAGCTTTTGCACTAGTGTGTTTGTGGACCTTGTACTCTGCAGTGGCACCTGCCTAGCTACTATTAAAATAAGAGAGCTGGATTAAAAGGTCACTAATCTTAATAGGTTCTTTTCTGGAAGAAAGTTGTACCATGTTGTTTCTTCCATTCTCTGTAGATCCATCAGAGAAGTAGCAGGATTAAAAACACCAAGTTCTCCTAGCAAATTAAATATTGCACCTTAGACATATTTGTGATATAAGGCTAAGCAATTGCAATTTTACTGAAAGCATTCCCAGCCTTTGTCTCTGAAGACTTGCATGTCCTGAAGGTGTCAGGCAATTCATCTTTGGGAAGTAATGAATTATGTAAAGAGACAGTCTGTAAATAAGAGCAGGTGGTTTTGGTTTTTCTGTTGTCGTGCACATTTATACAATATTTGATGCCAAATATTCCCAAAGATGTTGGAACCATCATTTATCATTTCCTGAAAATTACGTATGAGATTAGAAAATAAGGAGGTTTAATCTGACCCACAGCTAAGTTTCAGAAGCTCTGTGCTCAGAGCTCAGCCCCCAAAATATAAATTTGATGTGAACATATTTACATTGCAGTGCTCAGCTGTGTTACTCCCCAAACAGTACATTAAAACAACACATCATGTGATCTGTTAGACCTTATGTATGCATAGCATGCATACAGACATCAATGCAGGAGCAAGTAGTAACATCAATAGAATTCAGCTGCTACTGAAAAGCTAAATAATGTTGAATTTGGTTGGTTCTTGGATGGAAAAACAAAAGTACATATTGAAAGTGAGCAATGACAACCCATTTCCTTATTATTGTGAAGAAAACCACACTGATGTCTCCAGTTAGTCACCAGGAGTCAAATTTGACTTGAGGAAAGTTTTATTTAAAAGAGAAATACTGACCATGAGGACAACTAACTAGAGGAATAGCTTGCATTTCCCATGAATCTGTTATGAAGTTCAATCTAAAAAGAGAAATCTTCTGTATTGAGAAAAAGATCTAGCTGAAAAAGTTTAACTGGAACCATGAAAATTTATTCTAGGAGTAAGTCACATCAAAAAAGGAGAAATCTGATAAATATGCATTGGATTGCACAATAAATAGGCCAATTAACTCTGTTCTCCCAAATGGCCAAATTCTATATCACATGGGGTGCTATTAAGAACTTTCAGCTTTATAAATGTTAAATGAAACAAATATGGTGTGGTTTCCAGAAACTAGCCATATCTGCCTGTTTTAGCAAACCCAATAAAATGCCATGTGATATTTCAAACATTTAACACTTCTATATATTTTAACATACTCTGTTTTTCTGGATTGTGTATAAATTAGATTAATCCAAATTACCAGGTTGGAGAAATACCAAAAATGTTACAGGATTAAATTTAATTTGACAGAAAGGGGACTGAATTTTCTAAAGACTGCCAAGCAGTAACATCTGACTAGCTGGCTTGAAAGTTCTATTCATAATTTCTTTTCCTGGTTTGGCTTAACTAATGGACATATAAACACCCAGTTGTTGTTGTTCAATATTTTGCTCTTGGTTCTTGGTTCTTCCATTACACCCTTTCCTGTTTGCCAGCATATTCTGCACTATAACAGAACATGAGATATAAGTACAATTATGATTCCATCAATGGTTATGCTGATATCAATAATATTGAAACATATTTTCCAATATTCTAGG